TTTTAATACAAGCATTTAACTCATATTGAAAATTAAAAAAGACTAGACTTATAATGTGAGAGTCATTTGACTGGTATTATTTTCCAGAAAAAAACTATATATTCAAGTATCTCTGTCTCGATGCTACAGAAAAACAAAGACATCGTCTGGAAAAAATGTAATATTGAATAATATTGTGTAGCAAAAAAACATTACATAATATTGGAACACGCGTCATAGGAATTCTAGAAGTTTCTTATACGCAGATCTCCACACTGTCTGTAGAAAGCTCGAATATCTAAACAAGCCGGCGCTAAATCAACAGAAGTAGCGCAGCGTTGTGGATAGCTAGTGTTGGAAATTTAGGGAGTAGGCTCGCCAAAAATCCATAGGGTAGAAGGACAGAATTGAAAGTACGTGACTGCCCGACCTGCCCATAACCGTTACAATCCTCGACATAAGTGGGTCATGTGATTGGGTGCAAACAATGTTAAAAAAAATCGCGGTATAATTCCAATACCGTTACTTGAAGATTAGATTAAAACAAGTCTGTAATATCTATTTTTTATGTTTGCAGTCGTATTTCTTGCGATAAATATTATGAATATATTTTTTAAGAACACTACGATATGGAAGTTAGAATAATGTTATAAAAACTACAGAAATTTTCCAAAATAGATGTCGCTAAACGCTTACATTACATGTTTTATGAGCTCGATATGATAATTTTCCGTTTTATACATTGCGCTCGCGCAGCTCCGGCTTGCCAAATGTATAGTAATCACGTGATAAATAATTCGGGGTTATCACGGGGCCGTGTTGGCGATACTATGTACTGTGACCATGATCTCTGTAACACTAGATATTGGACTGTTGACGTTTGACAAGTGATTGAAATCTTTGGGCCTAAATTTTATGTGTGCTTAATGTGTATATCGTATATCCACTCAACACCTAAGTGCAAAAACTTTGTTACAGAAGAATAAAATTATTATATAAATACAAGCAGTTTAGTATAATATTAAATTTGTGACTCATTACAGCGTAACAATTAAACATATCATGCAAAATACAAAGGCATTTAGACATTTTACATCAACACATATTCTTCTGACTGCACTGATGGCGTAGTGGTTTAAGCGGTCGCCACGCCGCTTCCTACTGTGCCGAGTGTTGTGGGTTCAAACCCCACATGAGACGACACTGTGTGTAACTCACAAATTGTTGTTCTGAGTCTTCTTTGTGACCGTGTGTTTGTAAAGTCCCCGCGAAACAGGAATGTATTCCTAATGAGGGAGTTGTCTTTTTAAAACAAAAAAAAAACTACAGACTAGTCTACTAGGCTTTACATTACTGTTTAAATTACTGTTAAATCTGGTGGATTCCGCTTGTATTTTGATTACCTATATAAGTATACGAGTTTTTATTAAACTTTATTTCATACATCCGTAGATCTCTTAATAAGTGTCGCACGGCATTATTATCTATCTTCAAAAAAAAATTTAAAAATGTCACAACTTACGCAAAAATTTTATTAACTTATGTTACTTAATCAATATTATATGACTCCAACAAAAATAAAATTAATTAAAACACAGTCGTAACGAGTTCTGAAACGATCCGCACAAATTAACACACAAACCCGTAAAGCACCTCTAATTAACATAACAGAAGTTGATGTCACAGATATCCTATATAAATGACATGTCCCAAAGACGAGCAATTATCTCGACCCACATAAGTAGCTCGACCCAATCTGCAAATTAACTCCAAAAGCGTGGCCACATCAACTTCGGGTAGTAGAACCAAGGTCAATTCACTCACACATTCGCAATCGTCTACGAAATCCTTGGCAGCGGTTAAAGACCTACGGAAGCACTAGCGTCTAGTACAAGTTGAACCGCCGCCGTCAATATACTTCCACGTTTTATATACCATTTACGGTCAAGCCGGGGGATCAACGTCTTTGGTCCGTAGGGTTTATGTCATCATGTCATGCGGCCTTCAATTCTTATATTTATGTAAACTGCGTGAACAAGTTTCGCGTGGTTGTTGCTGGGGGGAAGTACGATTTTATCCACAATGCCTAAATTTATCGATATAAAACATATCTGCGTATACCCTTGTGTGGATCGTTTGGAGGCGGTAGGGTGCTTAACATTGACTTTTAGACTGACATACTTTGATGTGGGCAATTAGGTATAATGTGATGCGGATTTGACGCTTTTAGGCATTATGGTTTAAGTAAATAAAATGATTTGATTAATTAATTTATTACGTAATACTTAAACTTTGATGACTAGATTTGTGGGTGCTATTAAATCGGGCCCCTAATTGGGTTACTAAGCCCAGCAACTCGATTCTTGTCACTATTAATCGATACTACATTCAACCAGTTGGTAAGTAGGTCAACACCTTTAAAGGACCCTCCTTGAATTTTTTTTCAGGTTGTCAATGTGCAGTTGACACATCTAGTACTACGACAATAAATTTTTATACAATAACTATTCTTCATAATGATAATAACTATAACAATAAATAATAAACCACTTACCATCTGGTAGGCCTTGAAATTGTTTAGCAAATTAGTTGAAAAATATCTAGGACAAGCTTATTTCAGATACAAAAAAAAAGTGAAAATTCTGTTTTTTTTTGTAGTTTTAAAACTTGTTACGCAAACTTGTTTGTAATATGGTCAATACAAAAGCCTATCTTAGTACATATAGGTATATAACAGAGTACATCTTTGTTCTTTCGTAAGTAATTAGGACAAAGTAAATATCTTTCAGAAATCGTAGTTTCCAAAGATGACCGAGTTGTCCAGAAGGTTAAAAAGGAATAGCAATAGGTGGTGGTAGCTTGCGAGAAGGGTTGACAGACTTCCCTTGGGGTTACTCGACCGTGTCGACCTTGGAAGGTTCGAGAGTGTTGTGTCTACAGGTAGGGGTCGACTATCTATTAGCATACAGAAAAGCTTATGTCATTTCCATTATATTATGTGTGTACACTAAGTGTTTGAAAATAATAAAAAATCTTTTCGTTTAGTCAATTATATTTTACTACTAAATTATTGCTTGTCAAGTTTTATGAATTTAAGTCATCTAAAAGTATAAAACGGGTTTTTGATGTTTTGATTTATTTGCGAGTCGAGTGCCAGACGCAATTTTTGTTTTTATTTAATAAAGCACATTTGACTATAATACTAATATCAACATGTGTCTACGCATTGCTAGGGATCAGGGAAAAATATACACAGACATCCAAATGATATTAAAAAAGATTATTTTACCTTCCAGGCACAGAACCCTAAGAAAATATAAAAAAAGGGATGAGAAAGAAACACTAGAAGCGTAATTAAGAAACAACAGGAAGTTCTAGAAGTTGATGAGGCCGAACGAAACATCTTCATAAAACATTAAACATAGGAAACCGACTATCCACGGCAATAAAATGATAATAAAATTGATAATTCGTTCAAGGCTGTTAACTGTTGAATTGGTATAAAAATTCACTGTAATTTATTCAAGAAAGGAACAATGTCGGAAATATAGAAGACGAATACTATAAAATAACGAATAAGTTAAGATAGTCCCTCGACCACCCGATTTATTTAGGTAAATAGGCATGTTTCAGAATGTATTCAGTTACGAGTTTTTTTTATTGAGCAGTTTTTTTATGGCATAGGGAGCAAACGAGCAGACGGCCACCTGATGGAAAGCGACTACCGCCGCCCATGAACGCCTGCAACTCAGGAGTCACGTTGCCAGCCTTCGAGGAAGGAGTACGCTCTTTTCTTGAAGGTAGGTCGTATCGGTCCGGAAAAACCGATTGGTAGGCAAAAAGTATGGTATGATATGTATTGGTATGCTTTCAAAGCCTACAAATTGTATATGGGTTATATTAGAACGCACTGTTGTTGCTCAGATACGAGTTTGAAATACTTTAGTTAGTATTTATATCAGAATAGGTGTTATGGCGCTCGGACTTTAAGACCTTCGTTTCGAGTTGCAGTTTCCGAAATCGCCTCGAGGTTTTGCTTATACTTTGTAGTCCATTTACTTAATACATAAATTGACTGGCGTCTTAGTCCAGTGGTTAGTCACTTAGTCCGGAAAAAATACTTGTGTGATGAGCACGATCAATTGTTCTGCGACTGGGTGTAGTTTATCTATATTCTATATATTTATAAATATTGAAGTATGTTTATCAGCAGTCTGATTACCATAGTACAGGCTATGCCTAGTTTGGGATCAGACGACCGTGTGTGAGATCTGATAAGTTACTATTTCATGTGTAGATGTTCTATCATTTGGAAAATACTACCGCTTAAAGTTATTCATTATCCTTTGTAGGTGAGTTAGTGATAGTAGCTAATGTTGACTAAATAATTCCATTTTACTTACTACTACTGTTGATGTAAATTATCTGTTGTGTGGTAATTTTGGCGCACATATCACATAATTATGTTTAAATAATATACGCCTAAGCAAACTGCGTATAAAATACGCTTTAATACAAATTCAAGTTCCAAAGTACATCTAAACCAAACTTTATTTAATAACGTTTGACCACGGCATTGCCTGCATTATTGTAGAGAGCGTTGACTAACTTGTTGGAATAGTGGTTAGCGACCTGACGCCAACCCTCAAAATGCAAGGAGGTAAATTAGGATAAAGTAAACGGATAGAGCGTAAGAGATACCGCAGGATCAAAAACCGCAATAGAACGAAGAGGCCGATGTCGCGTACCCGTATGGAGAGGCCACTAAGAGAGGAACCAACATCAATTAATTATCATCAACAGCCTCTAATGGACTCCACTACTGGACATAGGCCTCTCCTTAGAAAGGAGGTTTTGGCCAACTATACCACGCTGGCCAGACGGGTTGGTATAGGGTTTGTTTCAAGTTTTCCTTCTCCTTAAAATGCTGTTGTCCTCCAGAGTTTGTAATAAATGTTAAGCAAATTTCAATTATCAATCGAAAATAACCCATGCCATGAATAATTTAGATTTAAAATCACTTACCTCAAAACTTTTCTTCTATTATTGACATGCAGTCTACCCGCCATTACTGGATCAATCGCTTTCAATTTAGCATGGATTTCGTCATTAGTAAAGTTATTTTCATGATCTACGGTCTCTTGCACTTCTTGCCTGCTTATACTCTTAGTTTCGTCCACACTCACATAAGAATTATTACCCATCATTTTATCATCAGAAGTCGTAGGAGTATCATCGATAGCTATTTCACTTGCCGATGCTACCTTTTTTGCTTCAATATGTTCATCTTTTTCAAGATCATCAATATCTCTTTTCCTTCTACTCTTATCCCAAAGCAAGGCTTCAGTATCATCCATATCTTCTACTAGTATCTTGTATACTATAGATTCTAAATAGTAATTTGTACCACCAACGATGACGGGAACTTTGCCCTGTTCAGTTAGGTTCCCAATCTGTGTTTAAAGTTCAGGAAATGTGGGATTAAATATGTTTCATGTTTTAATTTGAACATAATAAGTGTGTGTGTGTTCTAAGACTACGCATTTATGTACGGTTGGAGTAACTTTTATGACTGACAGTAAATTACACTTTTTTCTCTTGTTTCGCCTGATGAATAAATCAAAATTGTATGAAATACTCTTATTTATTTATAAAAAATATTGATTTGCTTTTTTGACTTAACCTGAAAAAAACCTGAATGATTTAACCATCTTCTGGTAATATGAGCTAAATAGGGCTTCTAATATTTATAAATATTACGAGTGTAAAGGAAATAGGCAACAGAATACGACGATATTGAAATAGGAAGCTTAGGTCATTTCAAAGAGGAAATATTAACTGATATAATTTCACATAACTACTTAAAATATCAAGAATTTTATGGCGGATATCATCAGTCACAGTAGTCGTTACTCCCACTTAGATAACACCGGTTAAATTTACATTCCAATAGGTTTTTCATAAACGGTAAAGTAGGCAAATAGTGCATTGTTCAAATGCAATATTAATTATTATTATGGAAAATAAATTAATAATAAAAATATTGTACAGCTATAAATGTTAACAGAAAAGAAACGGTTAAATACTGACTACTAATACATGGGAACAACAACAACTGCGAACGGAGCAAGTTCCAAGTGAAATGTAACTGCAAGGATGGCGTAGTAATTTAAGCGGTCCTCGCTCCTTCTTTCCTTGCGCTGAGGTCCGATCCCCACATGGGACGATACATTGTGTGATTCACAAGTTGTTGTTCTGTGTCTGGGTGTTCTTTGTGTCCGTTTAATGTATGTTTGTAAAGGGGGCTAGTGCGGGAGTTATCTTTTTATAAATAAAGAAAGAAAATTCTTTATTTAACTGGTTCAAAAGAGGAGCATATTATTTAAACTGATTTTTGATATACAAAGAAATAAATAGCATTATTAAATAAACACTGAAGGAAATAGTAGATACGCTGTTTTTTTTTTTTTTATTAAACTTTTTAGTATATAAGATTGGTCTCATTTAAATTCACAAAGAGTATTCCACCTCCTAAGATGGAAAATATAGGTATAAAAATACAGCTTATAACAATTTATGATCAATCAGTTGCATTGAAGTCGATTATACTTGTTTAAAAGTTAATTATGGAAACCTACAAATCATTAGCCCGTTAAACAGGAAGATGTAAGTATTCGGAAGAGCATTTATTGCTTTTTTACCGTCACATGGTATTTTCGATAAATTTAACCTACTTAAATCAATAAATGTTAGAAGCCATGCATATATTAAGTCAAACGGTAATTAAGGGTGAGTTCAGCCGACGTCACACCTCAATGTAACTACCATTTGACCATGTAAAAAGAATTAGAAATCAGTAAAGATCAGGAAAATCGTGTGACTAATTTGTTGATATGTCATCCACCTAGCCACATGTCTAGAGGCCAGTACCCAGAGGCAGGTATCATCATCAACAGCCTTCAACAGTCCACTGCTGGACATAAGCCTCTCCTTAGAAAGGAGGTTTTGGCCTACTTTACCACGCTGGCCAGACGGGTTGGTATAGGGTTTGTGTCAAGTTTTCCTTCTCTCTGCAGTAGTTTACTCTCTTGGTCGGCTCTTACGACACCTACGGGATGAATAGGGGTGGTGACACTCTGTATTCTTAATCCGTCACCACACGGATAGGCAGGTATGCTTTCAACGAACTACACATAAATATGTATTTTTTTATCCAAATCAAATAATATACCACACAATTCTAGTACTTCATAACCATGTGAGTTACTCAACAGCATACACTCAGTTTTCCTCATCGTAGTTAAACTAGTTGATATTTTTGGAATCCATTTCTTAGAACGTGTTATGTGTTGTATGTGAACCTGTTTTTCACATAATTACATAACAACTAATTACAGCATCAACATTTGCGATATTCTAAGATTTTTAATTAAATGCAAATTGCTAGTAAATTGTTTAGAAGTTGCCCTTTGCGGAGCGGAGTCGGTACACACCTCGCTCCGCTTGCAGTAGAAAGTGTGTCTCAAAATTATTAATTAACGGTAATACTAAACTTATTATGTCCATAGAATGAAAGTCGGTGTACCGAATGTGTGTAAGCCACTTTGGCTCGTAAGAGGATTAAGTGGTGAATGGCCGGCGGCGTGAAGAAGGCAAACCTTTCAAATACTAGTCAAAGGTGATCGGCACTACTACGGTTTGTCCGATTACCGAAAATCGTGTACATCCTAGGACATACTAGACTCGTTTTATGTTAATTGGGATAATAGGGATTAGGAGACTTGGCGCTGAGGAATTAATTAGGTTAAAAATAGACCGACCTGTTGGTCTGGTGGTTGGTGACTAAGTGAGTGCTAAGCGGAGGTCGTGGGTTCGATTCCCATCGAGAACAAATAATTGTGTGATGAGCATGATCATTTGTTCTGTGTTAGGGTGTAATATGTATGTGTTTAGGAACATTCAAATATGTTTATCAGTAGGCTGGTTACCATATCACAGGCTCTGGCTCAAACTAGCTAGATCAGACGGTCGTGTATAAGATGTGATGATAATGATACTTAGAGGTCTTATCAATTTAAATTTAGGAATATTTTCTGCGTAACTAGGTCTTTAAATACAACTAATGTAGACAAAGTACACTCAAGCTTTAAAGAATTATGTAGGAATAGCACAAAATGTGAAGAACGAACTAAAAACACTTAGTAAGCAGTAGTTGGCGAGATGTGCACTGCGCCATCTCTGCAGGCACTGAAGTGCCGTATTGCGGGAGAAGCCCACTAAATTCAGACTACCTCGATGTTGCGCTACATATCTTCTTCACGAGGATGAATGAGTGAATGAAATCTAAATAGGTGTAATAGTAATTGGTGCACCAGGGACTTCCTTTCTAGGGTATACCTGGTTCCCCGGCTATTAGTAAACGAGACGGCGTGCGGTTTTAGTCGGTTCGAGTCCGACATGCCACCGATGGGTGGTATCCGAGGGGATATCATAAAAAAAAAGGTGAATAGTAATTATGTAAATAACAAGGTTCTGACACCATAGGCGTATATCAGACCCATGATAGTAAAAAACGGTATCGTCTGAAATTTTTCGAAAAAGAAATCTCTTAAATCAGGTTCTAGCTGGTTTGATATATAGATATTTATAATTAACTAGCTGTACCCTGTCACGCTGTGGCTCATTGTGTTTGCATTAATGAGAAATGAGAAAAATAGAAATAAAAATCATTTTTTGAAACGGGGTTGTAAATCGTGTTAAAATTTATACTCAATCGGTGCAGAACTATTTGAGATATTGAAGCGTTCACAAACCAACCTATTTTTTTTTAATAATATTTTAGAAGATTTTTTTTTAATTTTTAAAATAATATAAAATATCTCAAACATTTTACACTAGGCCATCTGATTCCAAACTAGGCAGTGCCTGTACTATGGTAACCAGACTAATGATAAAAATACTTCGATATTTTTAAATAGATCCATATTATAGATAGATTATATTTTTATTGGCAGTAGAAACACAGCTTTGGTGTCTAAATAATGATTATTCAGTATCAATGATTACAATTAAAACTCAAGTCATATTTTTTATATGTACTTAGTTTTTGTCGTCTAACTCTCTTTATACACCTGTTTTCCATATTACACAGAAACGACGATACCAACTCACGTAATTGTTAATTGTGGTTTGAATAATTCAAGTTGTTTAAAAAGTTTATAGACATAATTAAACTTTAAACTTGAATTAATTCAGCTATTACGTTACGGCGTCAATGACGCATCATGTCCCTTCCGGGTTGGGCACCGTGAATCACAATCGCTATTCCTAAAATATTGTGTCTATAAATGTAAGCTACACGAGAGATGTCCCTACCGTTGTCGAGTGGCAGGAGTGACTGGATATTATGCAATTAGTGGTGTCTAGTCTAGTCTATATAAATGTAGAATGGTCAATAAATTTATTTGAAACCATAGACAGATAAATCTTTCTACAATTCGAGGATGAGGATGAGGATGAGGAGAGGGGGGGGCGGGGGGGCAAATGCAACACTCAAAGTCACGGGGTTCCAAGTGTTTGGAAGAAAATTTTCACCATTTTAAAACGACATTAGCAAAGCACATCAAAATATCAGTGAATATTTTATTTTCAAAATCCAAGATAAAAGTAGTATTTTTTTGCAAATTGCAACATGAAAAAGCAAATATTGGATACATTTTATCATTTTCTTTTGAATTCTCCCGCGATAATGTTACTGTATTTTAAATTTAAAGAAATAAGTTTACAATTAAGAAAACGTAATGATGTTAAGATAGACGGAAACGGAATCGAATAATTAAGTTAGTATAAAATTTATCTTTGGGGGAATAAAAATCATGGCCCGGAATTTTTTATGTGTTAACGGAGATGTGTACCGTATGCAGTACTTTTATGGCTTTTATTATATAAGACATAATATATCTATAGAAAATATAACATATCAAGCGTAATACAATATGTAATAATATATAGAATTCAGTAGAATATGTGAAATCGAATAGATTTCGGTGTGTCTTCATTCATCATCATCATCATCATCATCAGCCTATCGCAGTTCACTTCTGGACATAGGCCTCTCCCATTGCACGCCAGTTAGATCGATTCTGGGCTTCTCGCATCCAGCTGGCCTGTGGGCGTCCTATACTACGTTTGCCAAGACGCGGTCTCCACTCAAGAACTCGTTTTCCCCAACGGTTGTCGGTTCTGCGGCTAATATGGCCAGCCCACTGCCACTTCAGCTTGCTAATCCGGTAGGCTATGTCGGTGACCTTGGTTCTCTGCCGGATCACCTCATTCCTGATGCGATTCCTTAGAGCATAGCCCTTTCCATAGCACGTTGAGCGACTTTGAATTGGTGGACCAGCCGTACCGTACCTGTCCACGTTTCGGCTCCGTGTGTCATGAATTCTTCTATTCACCTCGTCCTCGAAGTTGTTTCTAACTAACTACAATTTCTGCCCGAGGTACACATAATTTCGAACTACTTCGAAAACGGCACCGTGCACCGCAATCGGTTCCGGTAGTACATGTTCAATGAACGTGAATCTACTTGGCAACGCTGCAGGAAAACTGAGTATCGAGTTATATTTATGTTTTATTAAAATTTACTTTTTTTTACAAAAGCTAGGATTTTCGACTAACTTTTCATTTGAGTACATATTTAACTTCTGACATGCTCTACAGTGTCAACCGTTTGATCTATTTCGACATATTAAGTGTAATTTAATACGGCTAAGTGGTGTAAATCAATAGTGTATATTACTTCGGTTTTGAATCGGGTTTTTAATTTCGTTAAATAGTTCTTTCTTTAAGATTTCCATTCAAAAATTATATAATTTTGAAAACCTTTACGGGTTAGTAAAGTCTCACAAGCGTGTTACAGTAGGCCAAAACCTCCTTTCTAAGGAGAAGCCTATGCCCAGCAGTGAACTATTATGGGCTGTTGATGATGATATAATTTTGATTATATGGTTAACTTTTGGCATGTTCTACATTTTCAATCTTTTTATGAATTTTCATATTTATTTTAAGTGTCATGAACTTACTACTTCTTAGTGGTGGAAATAATATACTGCATATTATTACGTTTTTAGTCGGGTTGGCTGCCAATAAAACTAAACCCTACTGCCAACCGTTGGCAGTAGGGTTTAGTTTTATTTAATTGCTTCTTCTTGAAGATCAGTTGATTGAAAAAGGATACAATTTTGAGTGCTCTGTTCCTGAAGTCCACAACAGTAAACATCTGATGTGGTTCCAAGATATCCAAAAGGTGATGTTTCGCCATTTCTCTTTCACGTTGACTAGCCTTAGCGGTTACAATGTCTAGCCCTCTGTAAATCTGAAACAACGAAAAATATGTTATTAGAGATATATCTAAATAGATCTTTACAAATTAAAGGACAAATAAAAAGATCTTTCATATGGTATTTTCAATAACAGAAGAAACTGACACATTCGCTGACTGATAGATCAACACAGCTGCAACCGCTGGGTCTAGAAGCATGAAATTGCACAATTTGTCTTAAGGTGACAAAGGTATGCACAAATAAAACGATTATTAAAAAAAATCCACCCCTAAGGGTACAAAACAAAACAGGTTACATATATATAGGGGTTAATATGAAACTTTGTTATTTTTGGGTAGTAGCGTATCCTCTATGATGTTTGATGTCGATCATCAAGCGAACGAAGGCGCTGGCAAAAGCTAATCTCCTACAAAGAAAGTCTGTGGATCCGTTTAAATTGTCATTTTAAGCCATACCTACCATACATATTTATCCAAAATAGTTAAATATATTTGCGGAACTTAAATAATAGGCGTAATAGGCTGATCGCCGTCAGCCCGATCAGACAGCGTATCATCGTAACCAGCGCAACCTGGTTGATAACATCAGGCAATTAAAATAATACCAGTATCATAATTACCTTAATTCCCTTATACATTCATACTTTTAACTTATAAGTGTGAAAATGGGTTTGTTTGCTTGTTTGTTTGTGACGCTTTCACGCCTCAAACACTAAGCGATTTAAAAGATTCTTTCAAAAATGGAAAGGTACATTATCAGCGAGTATCAAAGGCTACTTTTTACCGCGATAACTGACATACAGGCGGGCGGAGTCGCGGGGAAAAGATAATAATTATATGTCATGAGACGCAAAGTTTTAAAGGAGTTTATACTAAAAATGTCTGCCAATAATTTTTTGTTTTTTGTTTTTAACTAGGATGATACCGATCATACAAGTTTTTTTTTTCTTAAAGGCCCGCCTTAGGAATACATCCTGTATCACAGGGGACTTTACAAACATTCATGAAACTGACACAAAAAACAATCAGACTCAGAACAACAGTTTGTGAATCACACGAAGTGTTGTTCCATGTGGGGACCGCTTAACCACTTCGCCAGCCACCATTGAAGTTTACAAAAGCTTTTCGATTCATATTTTAATTTGTGTTTATCAAATATTAAGCTAACGTCACGGTGTCAAGAAAGTGTCGAAGGTTTTAAGAAGCCCTGAATTTGAAACAAATCGTCTGACAATTATGCAAATCTAAGTAAAGAGTATGAAATGTATGTAAGCAGGCCGACAGACATGTTGGCTGAATAATGCTTCTGGCAGCTTTCAACACCTATTAAAGGAGGTTAATGGTTACTTAAATAGGCCAAACCATATTTAGAACTAAATTTAGATTTAATTTCAACATTTGTAAGTTTTTTTTTTATGTTGTCGCCTGAGGCATTACCGCCAACCAAATCTTAAAGAAAAGAGCGTTCTCCAATCCCATAGGCCGGCAATTCGCTTGTAGCTTTGAGTTACAGACGTTCATTGGCAACGGTAGCCACTTTCCATCAACCGTCTGCTATATCACACAAGATTTTTTTTTTTTGTAAAAAGAAAACTCCCGTATTGTGAATATATATTGAGGACTTTACAAACATACATGAAACTGACACAAAGAATACTAATAATAATACTCAGAACAAGAATTTGTAGATCACACAATGTTGTCCCATGTGGGGATCGAACCCTCAACACTCAGTCCAGTAGGAAGCGGCGAGGTGACCGCCTAAACCACTGCGCAATCCGTGCAGTTTTGACATCAGAGTATTTTACATAATCCTCACAAATAATTACCGTGTGGTTTATTGGTGATTTCCTTTGTGTTTAGTGTTAATCTGTATAGATTGCTTTAATATTATGATGATGAAATAACACATGATATAATATTAAAATAAATGTTATCGATACTGAAAGGCATTATGATAAAAAAAATAACCTAATTAAATACTAAGAGATAAAAGAGATTACGCTTGAACTATTGCTAGTGGTAACTACGTTAATTTACAATTTAGTGACTAAATAAAACGCCTAATATATTGTGTAGTAATAGTAATATAGTGTTTGTTTTTGAACATTTAGACAAAGCATTTAGTGACTTTTCTTGCAACAAAATCTATGATCTGAACATTTTACCGAATTTCAAGTAATGTAAGCTTACCCTAACTTTTGAATGTTCTGTGATATATATGTTTTAATTCTAGAACTAACTAGCAGTCAGTATGTGACCACGACCCGTGTAACTTGGTCGAAAAGTCAGGGAGTCAAAGGTTACTTCTATAGATCGCATTATTTCACGTATTAATATTTATATACAAAGCCGAAATCAATTTGAACCCCATTAAGTTAAGCTTGAGCGGTGAAGTTTTCTTTCTCCATCTGTATCCTCCTTCCAAACGTCCTATGAGTGAAGTCCAGTAAAATTCAAGTCATATCGTGTCTATAAAATGACAGTTTATAGAAGGGTTTCATGACTGCACGGATGGCGTAGTGGTTTAAGCGGTTGCCACGCCGCTTCCTATTGCGCCGAGTGTTGTGGGTTCAAACCCCACATGGACAACATTTTGTTGTGAACTACTAATTGTTGTTCTGAGTCTGGGTGTACTTTGTGTTTGTTTCATGTATGTTTGTAAAGTCCCCCGCGACACAGGATTTATTCCTAGTGCGGGAGTTGTCTTTTTTAATAAATAAATAAATATCACAACCAATATCAACTTACGTTAAGTTTAAGTTACCTAAAGACAGTCTAAATTCTCAAATCAATCAACAGCCTTTAATAGTCCATTGCTGGACGTAGCTCTCTTTAGAAATGAGGTTACCATACCACACTAGCTAGAAGGGTTCTACAGGATTTGTGTCAAGTTTAGTTATATTCTAATAAGATGAGATACAGTGTCATTAGTTTATTTCAACTGTTATAAACATTAAACGTCTAGAACAAAAAAGACTGAGATAAATAATGGTAGAAATCTCAAATTGTAACCAGGTTATCGCCGAATTAACCAGGTCAATATGATTTTGCGCAGAATCGTTCAATGTCATACCGCTGCGCAGCACTCTTATCGTCTTTAATACAATCAGTAGAACGATAGACGCAAATTCGCACTTTTCAATTGCGTAATTCGCACTATCAGCTGATTTGAAAAGTAAACAAATAAAACAATTATATTAGAATCTCTATCTAAGTGTGAATTTATCACTTAATTCCTCACGTGACATTTTCAAGATATTTAAAAGTGCGTAGCATAAAGATTAAAAACAAAACACATACCTACATAGCAACAATAAACTACTTAAGATTATATTATCAGCACTGATGTAAGTTGATTTTTAAAGTTTAAATATAGGTTAGTAGGATAAAATTGACTTCATCCGGGTTGTGCTTACCAATAAATTAGGAACATTTATGGCGTCTAAACAGACTTGGTGCGGAAGTTCTATTTAATCAATTTGATTATTATTCACAGATGTGTCATTAAGCACTAGAAATCACCTAACTTTCACCCGTGGAAGTAATATTCAACCGTGCTTTTATCCTATATATATATATATATATATATATATATATATAACCAACCTTTATAAGGTGGGTTAAAAGTTGGTTTGTGTACACTTCAAAAACTCAAAAAGTTCTTTGATTCAAGATGGTTTTTATCTTTTCTTTTGCAACCAGTATGTGCCATAGCGAACCGTGGGAAGGTACAGCTAGTATATATATAAAAAGTCAAGTTTGTTTGCTTACGCCTCAAAACCTCATAAAGTTCGGCACCGATTGAGCTCAAATTTTGACACGATATACAAGTACTATCCGCTTCAAAGATTGATTTTATCTATTTGTCTGTCTGTTTGTTGTGTCTGTTTTCTTCCTCATTTCTCATTGCGTTGCGGGGTACAGGTAGTTTTTATGTTTTGCGTGTCAAAACTTACTTTTTCTAAATCTAAGGTTCTCATTGAGCCTCGTGAGAGAGAGTGGGACGAGCATAAATCTTTTTAATTAATCCCTGGTACCCCGACGTACCTCGGACTCATCTACGGCGTGTAGATGACCTTCTTATTTGGAAACTCCTATGTCCCCTTTGTTCTCTCAAAAGGGCGCGCGCCACCACCCTGTTTCTGCTAGGGTGACAGATGGCCTCACCTGCCACTTCAGGGCCTGCATTTACAGAGGACGGAGGTCGTTCAGCGACCTCCGGCGCCGGAGTCGTCTGCGGTACTTGGCCCCGGGCCTTGTCGGAGGAACCTCCTTTGTGTTTGGCGAATATGTCGTTCCACTGTACATAATTATAATTTAAGTACTGACACTAAATTAAACTTACGTGAGAAGGTGGTAATACACAATATTCGTTATTAAAAACTACTTTACAAACCTTTATCTACAAATAATTATGAGTTCTGAAGACACATTTTATCATATTTACGTAAATGAACCAAATAAATACACACAAATGTAAACAAAATTTGAAGTGATATGCTCAGGGTTATCAACATTTTATTACACAATTACCCTTCCGTTTTTTCATTCACAAGATCAAAGTCACATTGGACTTATCACTATCTAATACAATACTGTTGAAAAAAAACTGTGTTCTGTAGTTTCCTTGTTTAGACTGCGATAATATACTCGTATAACTGAAACGGAAAAAGAGTTTTCTAAGACAAAGACATTTATTGAATAGAATTGTAAACAATAGGTTTTTATAAACAAAATTAAGTGTTAACAGTATATAGAATTGGAAGTTTCAATGGTACTTTTTAATCTCACGAAGCTACCATGGTGTTGTAGTGCGTCTGGTATGTTTGCAGACGCTAGGATAGATAGCTTCCATGCTATAATGAGAAGGGAATTGTGTCTATGCGAACAAGACTCTGGTGCAGTAATAATAGTATACATATATACTTATAAGAATATTGACACAGAATATGTATAAACTGTCTTTTTATTTAAAAGACAACTCCCGCATTAGGAAAATATTCCTGTGTCGCGGGGAACTTTGCAAACATACATGAAACGGACACAACCCAAACTCAGAACAACAATTTGTAGATCACCAAAAGTGTAGTCCCATGTGGGGATCGGACCCACAACACTCAGCGTAGTAGTAAGCGGCGTACATGTAATAATGAACATTTTTAATTAGTAATGATTTATTTACATATTAGATTTGACATCAATGAAAATTATTTTCATACTAACATAATTATTAGGAATTAATTCTAACAAGATATAGATAACAATCGGAATTAAATATTATTATTATTATTACAAATAGCTACCAAATCAGCATTTGAACGGTCAAAACATAATAATAATCATCATCAGCCTATCGCAGTCCACTGCTGGACATAGGATATACAATAATAATCATTTCATACATCTCACACACGGCTGTCTGATCGAAAACTAGGCAGAGCCTGTACTATGATAAAAAGACTACTGATAAATATACTTATATATTTCTAAATACATACATATATTAGCTCTCGGCGAAATATTCCTGCATATCGTAAAATATTAGATCAATTATAACCATTGTATGTTCATATATATTCATATTTATTTATGTTTCCAAACTGTCTCAAAT